GCCGATACAATGTGGAAAAGTGGTCGTTTCGGAACAGAATGGCCACAGATCCAGGCTTCATGGCTTTTGTAATTACTTCCAAGCCACAGGGCGTAAGCTGGGTAGCAGACGACTCCAGGAACGCCTTGATGTACTGGATATCCGAGTACACTTGTTCTTCCTCTTCTGTCAATGAGCCGAGCTTCTCCTGCAGCTCTTCGTCGAGGAATAGCAGTGTCTGAACATCTTCAAACGAGGCAGCCTGGCGCTCAAATGCGCCATACGCGGGATCAGATTTGGGTGGTAGCCAACCGTGGATTAAGGGGATGGCGAATGCAGCATAGAGCGCCATCTCGGTTGTGTCCTCAAAGGTGCCAGGGATCAGGTCGTCGCGCTCAGTTGGGTGGAGGTGGGTAAGTGAAGTGCGCTTGAAAGCCTTGACGATCTCGGGAGTGGGTATGAAGCGAGGGTTCACGTTCATTCCGGTGTGCAGCCCCTTGAGAAAGCCGTACAGCTCGGAGACATCAGGAAGGGAGGTGTCTTCATGGGTTCTTCTCTCCGACATGAGCTCGTCGAATACCGCGTCAAGCAGGTAGCCCAGGCTGATCTGTTCACGCGAGCGGAGTACCTGCACAAGCGCCGTGTCTGATACTGACGCCGGTGTGGTGAGGGTCAGCGCGTTCACCAGCGCTACGAGCGGACAAGGGCCATTGGCATTCTGGACCAGGATCGGAGACGTTCGCGGATTCTTCTCGGCACTGTGATCGAACCAGTTGATGTTCTTGATTTGATACGTTTCAGATTTGCCGTCAACTGGGCGAGGTGGCTGGCGTGGTGGGTGTTCCTCGTCATTCCTTGGGGGTAGTGCAGGAGGGGCCTTTTCTGCAGTTTCCGGCTCATCTGTTTCAATAAGTTTTTCGTTTGATTGCGGCTTAGGTGTGGCCGCCTCGACAGGTTTTGAAGGAGGAGCAGGCGCCGGTGCGGGCGCGTCAACGAGGTTCCAGTCGTCGATTGGACCATCTTCGGCGACAGCCGCAGCTGCGACGGGAGCAGGAGCCTTTCCCTTGCCCTTGTTCTGTGCACCAAGGTCATCCCAGGCGTGCTGCTCGTCGGTGACTTCGTTCATGACCTCTTTCGGCGCTGGCGGGGGTTGCGCTGGCAGTTTGGCCTGGTTCTCGGGTAGGTCGTCCCAGGCCGGCGATGTGGGTTCCGAAGGCAGGGACATCAACGCTGGCGAAGTAGATATCGGCGGGAGCCTGGAGTCTTGAGATACGGACCACGCATCGTGCTCAGCGTCGGAGCTAGGTTGAGCTCGGAGGGGCTGTTGCACGGTCGAAGCGACGGCTTTTTGCTCGCGTTGAAGGGCATGCTGGTCGAGCGCTGGCTGCCACGGGTTATTACTAATTTCCCCGGTGCTCACCTGGGACAAGGGCTGGGCTGGAGGCATCGGCGGTGTTGTCTCTTCTGAGCCGGCGCGGACGTCCTTCCTCTTGAACGGGTTCGTATCGGACCGTGATGGCGGACCTTGCGGGGGACCGGGACGAAGTGTTAAGGGAACATCAACAGCATCCTTCGGCTTGTCGGCCGTCTGGGGTCTGGCGCCGTTGACATCGTCCCAGACGCCATTGGTCGTCTCTGCGCCGTTTATTGCAGCGCCAGCGCCCGGCTTCAACGAGTCCGGGATGTCGTGATGGGCGGGTTGTTGATTCAGTGCCGCAGCGCCTTTCTGTTGCGAAGCGTCATCCCACACACTGCCGACGTCCGAAGGCGAGTCGGTAGTAGCACTCCAGAGCTCCTTTCGCATGTCTTGCAGCCGGGGCGCGGTGTTTGTGTCAACGGAGGTGTCGTCGGGAGCGGGCTTGCGGGTGACCATGTCGACGAGGGTCCCGAGTTCTCGGACTGGAGGCGGGCGGGATGTTCAAGGTATCGTTTGGAGGGGATGCAATTCGAAGGACTCGGTCGCAAGCAGAGGAAAGCAATCGGGGTTTCGGCGACGTCAAGAAGCTGCTGTGGCAGGCAGCTGTGGGAGCTGCAGCAGGCGGCGGGAAGGATGTTCAGCGACAAACGGCTGGAGGTTGGGAGCAAGGACGGTGGTGGTCGTGAAGCGAAGCGAAGCTCCAGCGGGTGTCGTCATTCGGTGGGTGGGCTGTTAATACGACCTCTGAATTATTGCAGGCAGGGAATGAAAAAGAAGGACCCGGAAGGATGAGCCAGGAAACGATCGCAAACGGGGATCCCGGGGCCACAGCGATTCTTGGCTGCAAGAGTGACAGGCCGAAATAAAGGATGAAGCGATGTTGTTAGGAGGTTGGTTGTAAGAGATTGGCACAGTTTTGGTTTTGGGAAAGAACGAGAAGCAGCCGGGTCAGACAGAAAGAGAGAGCGAGAGAGAGAGAGAGAGAGGTCTGAGAAGCACAGCACAGCAAGCTTGCCAAGACCATCTCAGCTGTGCTGCGCGTTTCCAGGTTGGGTACCTTACACTGTACCTTCCCTGCTCCCCACTCTGGTCTGCCCGCCAGTGGATGCCACCTCAGGTGCTGTTGCCGCCGACGCACCGCTGCTCTGCTGCTGCTGGACAGTGGTGGTCGCTGATGAACGCTGAACTTGCCCGAACCTGGAAAGTGGCGGTGCGCCTCCCCCACCACCAGCGAGGAAGTCGCGACGATACGTACTCTTACACTCACTTAGCAGCCGTACCTTAGACTTGGTATTCGTATCTCTAGCATTCATTCTCTCACTTGCAACAGCAGCAACTCGCTCGGCGGCTCAGAGCGGGCGATCCCCTCCACGGGTATCCTCTCAGTGCTACTCCTGGGTCACTGCCGCAGGTGCAAGTGGAACCTCCGCCCGGGCGGCACAAGCACGACGACTTACGCGGACAGGGAACCGCAGCAGCGGCCAGGTGCTCTGTCTCTGTGTCTGCGTCTTCTCTGCCACCAACAACGGTGTCGACTGGGAGAGCTCCATTTCACCACCATGTCTGTCTGCCTCGGGGGCGAGCACCAGCCAGCCAACTGCCTAACCAGCCCCAACCAACCACTCCCTCACTGGCCGAACGACAACGTGGGAAGATCCCTGACGACCTGAGTCGGGTTCAGTATCGCCAGGCAACAGCATATGGGCAATGCAGGAATCGTATGAGACCTGTCTTGCGAAGAAGATGGGTTGCACGGGCAAAATACTCCATTTGCTCCATGCCATGTTCCATTTGCCATGCGCGCGTCCGACGATAGGCCTTGGTTGGCACTGGGTGCTTGACATGAACCACACGCAAAAAAGTATGAACGCGGCTGACGGCAAGCTTCGCAATGGCAGGAACCCCGGAGGTTCGGTCGCATTTGCTGAGTGACGACGACGGCTTGGCTTACTGGACGACGTCCGGAAAACCGTCTTTGCTCTGCAGTAGCTGCCAAAGCAGGTACATGAGATAAGGCACGGATGAGATGGAAGAGTCGGCTGCTGGAAGAAAGCAAGCTTGCGCGTCCACTCTAGCTGCACGCACCTCACATCGCCTTACGTGGGTTGCGGTTTGTGATGGCGGGAGTTGAGTGGCCATGTCGCCGACGCCGCCGAACTCCATCCGTCCAATCACCAAACCGAGGGTGAATCAGGATTCAGTAAACATCAAACGTTCGGTAAGGCTGTTGGAAGACACTTGGCCGACGGTGAAAGACGCAAAGACAGAAAAAGCAGGGAAGCAAAGTGGCCGTGGAACATGTACCCGCCCGGCCGTTGGACAACACCCGTGGACAGGTGTGGCTGAGACGCCGCTGCCTGCTTGACTACGCCACACAGCACCCGAGGCACGTATCTATGTCCCCACCTCAGCCCGTATCCCAAAGTGGATCCACCAAAATGCTCCGCAGCCACTCACCGTCCAGGGAACATCCCCCGCGAAATGACGCAACGCACCGCCGGCGCTCCGTGCCCGTGACTTTCCCAGCAGGGACGCTCCCCGCCCCCGCCCAACGCAGCTGCAGCCTCAGTCAAACGCCGTCTCCAATTGTACACCGAATGCCTCACCTCGGAGATAGACCTACTACGCCCATACCGCCTTTACTGCATAACTAAGCAAACATACACCAAATTCCTTTTTTTATACCACGCAGTGAGTTGAGGCTCGGGCCTCCGTTTCATGACCGATACCACGCCCGCTTTAGCCCCGTTCTCCAACCCACCTTGCGAAGAGCCGCCTCGAACTCCCACTGGCATGAATATGCGTGGGTTGGGCTTTATGGAAACGAAGAAAATCGAAGATTGCGGTCCCATCTCCAGCCCTGTATTGTGTCTTCCCGTAAACAATTTCTTCAAAGTCGCAACCTTGTTCACCTCGATGTCATTAACTCCCCTCGATTCAGGATCTCGAACACGCCCCATATCGCCTGTTCGCAGCCACGCATGGGACGGTTTGACGCTAGAAGAAAAAATGTGCTTTCCGCTTACTATGCCTCCTTCCACACATGAACCCTTTTCCTGCTCTTCATCTCTTCACCTCTTCAGGCCAACCTTTTTCCGCCTCCAAATGCTTGACAATGTGGTCAGCCCTCAACTCAGAGACACGCCGCCAGCCTATGATGCCCTTCCCATCTCACCTGTCCCGAGTAATGCGCGCACCTTGGGACTGCAAGGACAGCGTAGTGAGCCCAGCTGAGGCCTCCGCCAGGCCTGGTATTGAAAAAGAAATATCCCATCCCAACTTTCCGTTTCAACGCTCCCTTCCGGCATATCCTTGAGTCGGGGGGGCCAAAGTATGTACGGCATAGGCACATATGCGCTAAAGCTGTCATGCCAATGGGCGGCATGCGACGGGAAACTCTGAGATGTGCCCTGGAGCAGCTGCTCCAACTCCATGGATCAACTAAACTCTATCGCGAACTCTTCTCGGCGAAATTGCGTTCCGGGCTTCCGTTAGATACGAGGTCACGGGTTTTCCATGGTCGCACGGCGCAGTCGCATCGTGTGACTACCGACAATCACCCTCGGCCGGAGAGGAACCGTTGGAAGCCCGGCGCCGGAGAAAACTAGCCTTTGCCGCAGTCACATCGCGATTCGTTCCCCGCCGTCAAGCTGCTGCCGTTCAAGTCGTAGCTCACCAACCACTCCCCAGCCCACTCATGCTCCGGCAGCCCCAGCGCCGGGTTCCGCCGATTAACCCCCCTCGCGACCAGCACTCTGGCGTACGCCGGGTCAAAGACGAACAGCGTCTCGCCGGTAACAGTATCTTTCACTTCCGCTGTGGCCGCGAGCTCGTCAATGTTGATGACAGAGGTCGGGCCTCCTGCCACTGACGCCCACTCGATCTGCGCCTTGATATGCTTTGCAGTATCGGGGTTGAAGCGGGTGTCGATGAAGTATAGGTTGTTTTTGCCGGCGGCCGCGACGTAGGGGGTGTCGGGCGCTACGATCTGGGGACCATGCCAGGCTTCGATGAATGTTGGTTTGTAGTCGCTGTTGCGGTATTCTTCCAAGAAGGTTGGCGGGCCTTCGCGAGGTCGGAATGGGTTTATGAGCATGGCGATGAACGGCCCAAATATCATTGCAGTGAAAACAAATGGTGAGATGAGGGCACTTGAACTACGTTCCACAAGTCTCTTCTCTTTTCATTCTCGTGCGAGATCCGGGTCACCTTATTTTTTTTACGAAGCCAAGGAACGACACCTAATTCGATCGTTGGTTGTCATGGTTGGTCCGTCAGAAGGAAGGTGCCCCATGATGCTAACCCTTCACAGATGCAGAAAGCTGACCATGACGTGACAAATCCAGATAGTGACCAAATACGAGGACCCAGGGGCCCGTCTGTCATCGACCAACAGTCAATGCAAGCTCTAGCCCCATCAGTACACCCAGCATGGATTACCAAAAAGGAAGCTCGGTTCAAGTCGAAGCCAACAACCAACGCAAACTCCCAGATCAAGCGGCACAGTCGGGCGTCAACAGATGTGCCCTTCTTAGTTAAGCTGCGTCCCATGCAGCATCCGTATCGACTCACTCCGGAAAGGTAACCGCCAATGAAGGAGAACTTCAGAAGCGCCAATGCAGTCCAAAGGTTCCCCGGCGTCAACGTCACCTTTTGGCGTAAAGAGTTATTGCAGAAACCCATCCTCCATTCCCGTCATATTTCTTCCTGCCATCCGTTCTTGCTCGTCTAATTTCAGAGTTTTTCAAGGTCCCTAAACAGTCCAGGTCCCTTCTACTCCTATTTTCTCTCTCTTCGTTTTTCCTCGTATGCAGTGATAATACTCAAGCGCCGGAGTCGTCCTGAGAACTCCGATGCGTTCCGAGTTCTGTTACAGATGCACTTGGAATGTTATAAATCATGAGAGACCCTGAAGCAGCTATATGTAGCTATTAGCTTAGCCTCATGGGTTTACTCTCATTCGACAGATATAAAAGCTGTGTGGTAGAGACGGCCAACTGTGATACAAGACAGAGAATCTTTATCATCCTCGTGAGAGTTGAAAGTCTATTCAACTGCAATTCGTATCACTGATTAAGAAACTAGTGTAATTGTGACTTATAGATTGGAATGGAACGCCATGAACATGCTCCTATCGTCGGCGTCCAGCCTCAGTGGCTGAGTATTACGGTAAGAAGAGCTTTTATCAAACTTAGCGGCGTGGATCTGAATAATCTGGACATCCTACCACTGTGTCATCACCCATCGTTAGACACTAGTGTCTGAAGTGACGAGTCATCTTTCCAATCACTCTAAGAGCTACAAGGCATTTTCGTTGCATGTATTGCTATAGCTCGACTGCAGTCCAATTCTACGACGGTGCAGCGTCTGTCATCTTCGATATAAGGTAAGATTGGTACGGGGGATTGAATGTTAGGAAACACAAGTGATAGCTAAGAACCAAAGTTGATTACATGAGGTGCTTCAAGATCTACTAAATAACCTAGGCATCACATAAACACTGTCAAAATGTTACTGTGGCGTGTCGCCTAAAGGCCCGCAACAACCTAACACGTCAGTTTGTAATTATCTGTACTAAATACTTTGCGTATAGGAGGCAGGAAGGACGAGGGAGTATTGAGCTTCAGAAGCACCAGATTCTGCATTCATCATGCAGCCGCCTAATGCAGACTTCAGTACATGTGCGTACCGCCGCTGATGTACCACTCCTACTCACACTCCTTTCGGTCGAACTTGGGACATATCTAGGCCTGTCTCGACTCCACGTTGCATCTTTCTTCTAATTTATACGAAGTATGAAGACCTAAAATTCCTCTCGAACTGACTAACAGCATTGAACAAGACTATATAAATGACTAGTCTTCGAGATAAGTGCTTTTGAGACGGAGAAGCAAGCAATGAACTTGTATCACCAAGCGTTTGACGTGAAACATGATTAGGCTGAATATTCAGATGCAAAGCCCGAGCAAAGTTGAGTTTTTGATCAGGATGAAGTTCTGCGACCATTCATGCCTGTTTCCCAGCCTTCCTAGCTAAGTATTCGAGCAAGACGGCATCAGGCAGTCACGCTCTAGACGCCGTGAGGCAAAGAGAAACGGGTATTCTTTACCAGCTTTGGTCTACCGCTTTTAGTCCAATGTGTGATATCAAGGTACGTAAATCGACTCATTTGCCGCTTGCGGGTCATAGGCTATCAGTTGAGAGGATATCTGTCGAATGAGCTTTTATAGCTATGCACTCGACCCATTTTACATATCTAGGGAAAAGAGTGAAGAGGTCGCTTGAAATCACTTGGGCGTTATACATGAATTGGAGTCCTTTTGAACCGTTAATTCACAGCAAGAAATGCCATGGAAAGTTTACATGGTAACAGCACAGCGGTTGACTCTGCGGCTTCCGAGTCGCCTAGTGAGCCCGAGCAGTCTGCGTCTCGACCGCAAACGTCATGCAAGAAGGACAAGAAGAACAAGGCTGGCGGAACAACTTTCAGCAACTCTGAGTAGATTTTATGCAAGTTCAGAAAGTTGATTGTTGCTGTAAACCTTGGGCCGGCGGGTGAAACCTCGTCCGCAGATCACGGCGTATTCGCCAAGCCAGAACGACCGAGTATCGGGCCAATTTATTTAGGAAAGTTTACGACAACCACCTCATTACGGGTTCGATTGCATTTTCTCGTGGGCATGCAAGGCTGACTCGATGCTGTTGAGAAACAAGAGGTTAGATACTAGTGCCAGATTGCCGAAAGCAGTTATTTTCTTACATTGTCTAACCACACAGCTGCACTAGACAACAAGATCTGCCAGATCTCCTCTCCACAGGATCGCTTGGCCGCATCATGTCCCACATACTCAAGGCGGAAGCAGGTCACGCGAGTCGCAATTGAAATGTTTGAGCTCGGTGAGGCAAGAGATACTTTTGGAGAGTTATGCCAGCGACTAATTTAAAAGTATCAAGAGGGTTGGTTTCCCTCAAAGTTTCCTCTCCATCTCATCTCATCATCAACTTCTCTACTCTATCAATTCACATCTCATTCCCTCAATCATTCTCCCGCTCTACTGAACTACCCAATTTCCAAGCCCACATATCCCGCAATCATGTACGTCGCCAAGGCCCTCACTACCTTCCTCTGCCTCGCCTCCGTCCAAGGGTACGTCATCACTATTTTCGACGGCAAAGACTGCAAAGGCGAAAGCAAGAGGATCAACGTCTGGGACAACACCTGCAGAGACACTAACGTTCTCAACACGAACTCGTTCCGTGTCGAGAAGTATGGTGGCGGCCGCCAGGTGGCCGATTTCTATCCATCCAACAGCTGCGGTACTCGGAGAATCACCTCATGGGCAGCTGATGGAGGGAGCGGCACCTTCAAGCAAGGCATATGTCTCAATTTAGGCGAGCCGGCTAGGGCCTTTGGCTCGCGTTCCGGGTAGTCAACTGGTCTCGTCGGACGGAAGGTAGGGCCCTGTTTCCGAATGGCCATGAAATTCGTTTCAATTTTCTGACATCTTGTAGGACGATGAAGTATTTCGAGTTGCTTCTGATCTGTCTCCACTTCAGTTTGGCGTAACTTGTCTGGTGATTTGAAAGTCCAGGAGTGGATTTTGTGGACCGCCGAGTCCAGTACCGCGTTTAACACAGCTAACTGAAACGGCGAGGAGACTCTTCTCGACATTGGTACCGGCTCTTGAACTACAAAATTGTCACTCTTTAGAACAAATCAATTTAATCTAAGATGTTGCTCTGTGATTTATTTGACGCACTCAATCAGACAACCAGACCTACCTAGGCCCAGCAACTGGTGTAAGTCGAGTAAAGACCGTATTTTCTCATACACCTGATATATGCATATCGATAAGGTCTCGCGATGTCATCTTATTCCAGGGTCCAACAGCTCTCCATCCATCCCGCAGCTCCAACATCACCCAACACAAAACCACAAACTCCCAAAGCTCACCACACCAACAATGCGACAATGACAACACCACGCCCCTGGACGCCCCCCCTCCTCCTCCGAATCCGCTTCACAACCTCCCTCCCCGACCTCGACCTCGACATCCCCTCCCCCTCCCAAACAACAGTCGCCGCCCTCAAACACCTCATCCGCTCCCGCCTCGCCCAACCAGACTCCCAGCGCCGCCTCCGCTTCATCCACCAAGGCAAGATCCTCCCCGACGCGTCCGCCCTCTCCTCCGTCCTCCGGCCCCTCCCGCCGCCGCCCTCCTCCACCTCCGGCACCCCGACAACACCGTCCTTCCCGAGCGGCGGCTCCGCAGACGACCCAAAGGGCAAGGGCAAAGCAAAAGCCCACGACGCCGCCCCGCCGCGCGTCTACGTCAACTGCAGCATCGGCGACAGCCTCACCGACGCCGAGCTCGCCGCTGAGGCAGAGGCCGCCCTCCTCGCGCCCTCCGCCCAGCCCAACTCCTCCTCCGGCACAAACGCACCCGACGGCCATGGCTCGTCCCCCGGCGGCAGCGGCCACCCGCAGGCCCAGCAGCGCCCGACGCCCCGCGGCTTCGACAGGCTTCTCAACGCGGGCTTCACCGCCGCCGAGGTGAACGCGCTGCGCCTGCAGTTCCGCGAGATCCGCGCCGCGCAGTACACCCCCGACACGATGCCGAGCCCGGACACGATGCGCTCGATGGAGGACGCGTGGATCGACACCAACGCCCAGGGCGCGCTGCCGGGCGGCGCAGGTGCGGGCGGCGAGGGCGGAGACGGCGGTGGCGGCGACGATGCGTTTGGCGTGATGAGCGGGGTCCTGGACGTGCTGATTGAGGGCATGATTGTTGGGTTCTTCTGGCCGCTCGGGTGTCTTGGATGGCTGTCGAGAGAGGGTAACATGCTTTCTGGACGCTGGCAGGATTTCATTGGGTTCGGCGTTACTTTGAGCATCATTATTGGCGTGATCAGAGCATTTTCGGGAGACCGGTGAGGGCATGGGATTGGTGAAGTCCATGCATTTTAGGTATGGCGTTAGGTTGTGGCTTTATGATACCAGGGCACTGCAGAATGGAGGCGAAAACAGGGCATGATTAGACTGCCTGATATTTATTTGCCTGCGTGACCATGTTTCCCGTGTAGTAGATAACTTGC